GCTACAAATATTATATATAAAAAATAAAATAAAAGATACCTACTATATTATTTATATAAGTAGTAATTGATATATTTATATTTAAAAAATAATACAATTAATATAGTTGTAAATTATGTAATTAATTGAGTTAATGAATTCTATAACAGTATTAAATCAAGGTTAAGAGTATTTATTTTTATTTTCCTCTATAAATAACAACTCAACTTTAAATTATGTTCTTTACTCTTTTTTCTATTTAAAAAAAATGATATAATAGATTATTATTATTACAAAAATTATAAACCTTATATTTACAAATAATAATTAATTTAATAAAAAACATCATGAATGGACACTTTACAGGAATTATCTTACTGTAAAATAAAAATAAAAATAAAAATAAACTAAGATAAGCCGCCGTAATAATTAACCGGCAAGTAATTTACTAAAATAACCTGGGAGATAACTTGCACTGTAAGTCTGGGTACTTGACAGACAAGGAAAATCGTATGGATGAAGTGCATGCATTTTGAAGGAAATCTATTTAAGGAACTCGAGTATTTTCACATTACTTAAAAAGTTAATTGTTTTATTTTCCTCCTAAACATATTTTTAATGTTATAAATTTTGCTTAAATTTATTTAACATATAAAAATTAATTACATTTTACACACTTAATACATAATTAATAAACTAAGTTCTTTTAATTTTCTCTTGAATTCCACGTGACATTAATTTGGTCGTGGATGAAGTAGTTAGGAAAAAACCATGTGACTCTGGAATCTCTTGTTTTTTTAATGTCTTATTTTGTCGAAAATTTTGAAAATAAAAGAAATAACTAATTTAAATTAAATATAGTTTATTAATTTCTATTAAAATATTAATTCTTTTCAAGACTCTTCTTATTGCTTTTTTTTTTATTTTAATAATAGTCAACGCAATTATTTTTAATCCAAAATGGAAAATGAAAAAGAAATTATGACGCTAAAGAGCTTACAGAAGAAGCAACTATCTGAGTACAGCAAGTTCTTGGGGAAGACGCAAAAAATCCAATTTCTTACTCGAAACTCTCTCTATAAAAAGCCCAGAACTTATATCTCATCACCCAGTAAATCAACTGTCTGAAATTCACAAAATCAGACACATAATCCGCCATGTTTTCTTCAATCTCCGAGATGTCGCAGACAGCCTCCACTTTGTTCTCCGCTTACGCCTCCATCATGGGTTCCATCATGCTCTTCCGTTCCATGGCTTACGACATCATACCGCCGGAGCTCCGGTCATATATCGCCAAACTCTTCGCTTTCTTCTTCGCCCTTCCAGCCCCTTCAAACCTAACCGTCACCGTCGACGAGCTCTGCGGCTTGACGCCGAACGAGGTGTACAGCGCCGCCGAGATTTATCTTCACACCAAGATCAGCTCCAAAACGGAGCGTCTCAAGGTCAGCAAGACTCCGCGGCAGAAGACCTTTACTATCTCGATGGAGAAAGGAGAAGAAATCACCGATTTCTTCGAAGGTATTCAGTTAAAATGGAAATATATTCACGAAGAGCCACGCGAAAATCACGGCTCTGCAAAAAAATACTTCGAGCTCTGCTTTAGTAAGAAGTTTAAAGACAAAGTAATGGAAGTTTACTTGCCTTACGTCATCGCCCAAGCAGAGAAGATCAAGAATGAGAGGAAGGTGGTGAAGTTGTACAATCGGGAATGTCCGTACTACGACGAGGAGGAAGCATGTGGTTCGGGCATGTGGGGTTTTGTCAATCTCGAGCATCCTGCAACTTTCGATACGTTGGCCATGGACGAGGATCTGAAGAAGATGATTATTGACGATTTGAATAGGTTTATAAGGAGAAAAGAGTTTTATAAGAGAGTTGGGAAAGCTTGGAAACGTGGTTATTTATTGTACGGACCTCCTGGTACGGGTAAATCAAGTTTGATCGCCGCCATGGCTAATTACCTCAAGTTTGATATATACGATTTGGAGCTTACAAGCGTTTCTTCTAACTCTGAGTTGCGGAGGATTTTGCTTTCCACCACAAACAAATCAATACTGGTGATTGAGGATATAGATTGCAGCAATGAAATGAAAGATCGGGAAGACGATGACAATGATAACGCTTATGAGAAGAAGGTAGGCAAAGTCCTTTGATACCACCTTTCATAACTTGCATTAATTTCATGTAATTGATCATTTTCTGCGGTCGATCATGGAGTTAATTTGAACTTTCTTCTTTAAATTTGTTTTTTAATTTTACTGTAGTTGACGCTTTCTGGTATGCTGAATTTCATTGACGGTTTGTGGTCGAGCTGCGGCGACGAGAGAATTATCGTCTTCACCACCAACCACAAGGAGCGGCTTGACCCAGCTCTCCTCCGGCCGGGCCGAATGGACGTTCACGTCAATTTGTCCTACTGCACGCCTCAAGGGTTCAGGACCTTGGTTTCTAATTACTTAGGCAGTGCCGGCCGGAACCACGCGCTCGCCGGAGAAATCGAAGAGCTAATAAAGAGCATGGAAGTCACCCCGGCGGAGATTGCGGAGGAGTTGATGAAGGATGACGATGCCGAGATTGTCCTCAGAGGACTCCTCAATTTCTTGAAACGTAAGAAGGTGGAAAGAAGCGAGATCCAGAAAGTAGAAGATCATCAGCCGCCGGAAACGAAGGCGGTGAGCAGGACTGAAACTGATGATGATGACGAAGAATAGAAAAAAGAAGAGGAAGAACTTAATTAAGGCGCCCTCATGAAAATCGAGTAGAGAGAAACAGAGCTTACCCACCAAAGCTCTTAAAGTGCCATAAGAGACAGAGAGCTATGAGGAAATGACATGAGAGAAAAAGGACTTTTTCGTGTTGTAGAAATATATATATGTATATATAGCTGTATGAATGTACGTACGTATTGTATGTTACATAAGAATATGAGATCAGATTTTGGGGATAAGTTTGAAAATTGAAGGAAATGTACAACAACGATTATTTGAACGAATTACTACCTATTTGTATATATTATTTTTTTTCCAATTGATTTAAATTTATAAAAATTAGTTACATTTTTTCATTAAAAAAATTATAAATTCAAATCCTATTTTATGTTTGTATGCATATATGATATAATAAATAAAATATATGTATTTATATTAAACATAAATAATTAATTTATTTTTAAAATTATAATTAATTTACTTTATTTAAATACACATATAGTAATAACAAATATTAAAAAATACACATGAATAAGGAAGAAATGTATGTTTAGTAATTCTTTTTAGTCTCAAATAGAATACAAAAAAAAATTTGTTATTTTTGTAAAAAAAAATTATTACGAAAATAGATTAAACAATTCTATAATTTAATAGATTAAATTGCAAAAAAAAAAAATTAAGATTACATTGCAATAAAATTTATTTAAAAATTAAATCCGTAATTTTATCTTAAGATTTTTTTATTTTTTAAGTTTAATTATTTAAATAATAAAAATTAGTTTTTCTTTTCTTTGTTGGCTATTTTTGTTCATTAAATTTTGCCCCAAAAAATAAAAACACACCGTTTCACATCCGGACGAGTTAGCAATATTTCAATCTCCAATCGCCATCTTCTTCTCCCGAGTAGAATTTTTGAAGATCTCATCGCTCCCAGTTTCTCTTCACAGCTGACTTAAACCTCTAAATCCCTCCTCGCTCTTCCACCGCAACCCACTGAGTGACGCAGCTTTGTAGGGTCTTCATTTCAGATCTGTTAACTTAATTGCAGCGTCTGTTCCACGTTTCTTTGGTCTTAACTTTGCTATTCGATTTGTGTTTTATTCTTAGGAAGACATAGAAGAAGAGATGGATACCAATTCAGTTAAATCAACTCTATCTAATTTAGCATTTGGGAATGTAATGGCAGCAGCTGCTCGTGATTATCAGAAGGTATTCTATATTTCTCTTTTGCAGACGTAAAACCAGAATTTGGGAACGAATTCCATGGTTTTTTTTTTGTGAATTCATTTGTTCTAAACAGTATTATGTATGAAATTATGCAATTATTTTCCCAAGATTCAGTCTGTCTTACCAGAGTTCATAGGTTTCTTTGATTCTTCCCGTACAAATTTGTTAGAATTTCTCACTATAATGCTTAGAGAAAATAGTACTTAACCTATTTCCGGAAGAAATTTGATTTTTTAAAAAAAAAATTATTTGCATATAGCACATATAGTTCAAAAGAATAAAAATTCTATTAGAAGATCAAAAAACTAAAATCCTATGAATTTTATATTGAATTTGTTAGGAGATCAATTTTTATCATTTTATGAAGAATTTACTATTTTCTAATTGAACTAAATGTGCAATTGCCAATAAATTCTATAAAACTATTACATTTGTTCCAAACATGACCTTGGAGAAACAATTAGGGAGTCTCTCGTTGGAAAAGCAGATATCTGTATGGGGCGAGTTTGATGGAATAATGGCTTCCTAAACAACTCCCTGAATTTCAACTAGTTCTATTCTAGCAACTGGCCTGGAACATAGACTCTCCTCCTTTGCTTCTGCAGCTTTGCTTATTTTGGTTTAGAGAAGACATAACTCTTTTCCAATAATAATCAAGGAGGCGATCCATGGGATGCGAATTATCATATGATGATGATCATTTTGTATATTTTTAGTTTATAAACAGGAGTTAGTTTGTGATTTACATATGTATAGCATGTATTTTCCCAATCAAACTATTACTTTTGAGCAAAGCTTGACTGATACTGGTTAATAATGAGTTTTCTGGTTTATATGGTGCATCCTGCTCTGCATTAAAGGAAAAAGTTAAACTAGCAATTATTGATGACGAGATAAAAAATAATGGTTTATGCCAATTATCATCATTTTGCATGAGATCGGTATTGTTATCTTTCAGGAATTACTTGCTCAAGAGAAGGCACAAGTGTCACATTCAGTCAATGAGGAGCTGGACCTTGATGAATTGATGGATGTAAGTTAGATAGTACATCTTTTATTTTTTGGCTTATTTTTTTTAATTTAATATATTTTTATTCTATATGTGGTCTCAAATGAAGTTATTGTACACTACAGGATCCTGAACTTGAAAAATTGCACGCAGAGAGGATTGCAGCTCTCAAGGTGGAATATCCAATATAGTTAACGTACTACAATTTTCATTTCCATTCCTTTTTTATTGTTGCATCTAGGGTGAGTTTTGCGAAGTTAATTTTCACACTAAGATTTATTTGAATAGAAAGAAGCTGAGAAGCGAGAAGCATTAAAGAGGGAAGGGCATGGAGAATATAGAGAGATTACTGAGGAAGACTTCCTTGGTGAAGTCACTGGTAGTGAAAAAGTTATCTGCCACTTCTACCATAAAGAATTTTACCGATGCAAGTAAGGTTTTGCTTTACAACCTCTTTACTATGTAAATCAGCACACAGCCACATGTACTAACTCAGGCATATACACCCCTACAAGTAGGCTTCAAAATTGCAAAATTCATTTCTACCTGTTAATGGATTATTTAGGATAATGGACAAGCATTTGAAGGCCCTTGCACCAAGGCATATGGATACTAAGTTTATCAAGCTGGATGCAGAGGTTAGTTTTCCCAAGTTCTTATGCTGGTAAAGCCTAACTGAGATCTGTGATTCATAGTGTTGAATTTATTCTATGATAAAGTTTACATTCTGGCTTATATCTGTTATGCCTTATGAATTATTATTAACTCATTGGTATCATCACTGTAAACTAAACGCAGAATGCTCCATTCTTTGTCAACAAACTTGGAGTGAAGACTTTACCTTGTGTCATACTGTTCAGGTCAGTCCAACTCTAATTTTTTTATTTTAACTGTTGGGTTCTCAAGTAAGAGAGAATAGAAAGTTGTTGGGAAGTCTAAGACACTGCTATGTTTCAGTTCATTTCTCATTTATTGTATATGGGGTATATCACATCCACCTTCAATTTGTTGATGGTGGGAATTCAAGATGATAGTGGTGTCACCTCAAATACAATAAATTATATTCCTATTCACTAAGAGAATTATGAACTGAGTGGGAAATGAAGCAAACACAAGTTCAATCATTACAATTTTTCGTGTGTAAATTGGGTTTTGTTTGTGTTAAGCCTGTAAAACCAGCATGATTAGCCATTGTTCTTAGTGTTTATCTAAATGCCATTTCAGAAAAGGAATTGCAATAGATAGATTGATTGGATTTCAAGATCTGGGAACAAAGGATGATTTCAGCACAAGGACACTCGAGTCTCTCCTAATAAAGAAAGGTAATGTTACATCCTGCTTCTAAACTTCTATAGCTTGTTGCAGAATCTCTAAAAGATCCATACAGGTATAATTAGTGACAAGAAAAACGATGAAGATGACGAGGATGATGAGGATCAGAAAACAAGCAGGACGGTGAGGTCATCTGTGAATCAGGACTCGGATTCAGATTGAAAGCAGCAAAGACATCAGTTGCACTGGGGGGTTTTCAACTTTTTGATGATCATTTCCATAGAAACTTCATGTTGGCAAAACGAAATTTAATTGAACTTGCCATTGAAGCCCATGGGAAAATGTGGTTAATGCAATTTCTGAGTGTTCAAGCTTTTGTGAAAATACTAGAATATTAAAATATGGAATGAGTATATTCTATTATATGTAATATCTAAGTTTTAGTCATTCAAGTTTTTTTATCCTCTCATTAAAATCTTATTATCTTTAAGTTTTTGCAGAGATAATTGGAGCTAAATTTAAGTTGACAGAGAAAGGATTTTCTATAATAAATATAGAAAATCAGTAATTGGAGCTAAATTTCTTAATGCAATAATTTTGGGATAATAATTTCAGCTTTCAAGTTTTTACTTGCTTTCGGCAGAGTTGAAAAGGTAAATTAATAGCTGTAATTATTGTTAAAAATATTTTAAAAATTTTCAGATTATTTGCAAAGAAAGAGTTAGGAAGATGCAAAATATGAATTTATTTTGACATTAAATTCGATTTAAATTTTAATTTTATAGAATAAAAATTATAAATAAAATACGCATTTTAGTAAAATTTATTTAATTAAGCATTTAAATAAAATAAATGACCCAAAAATAATTTAAATTAAACAGTTTAGATTAATAATTCATAAGTATATTATTATGTATTCACATGTAAATTTTATACATTAACAGTGCGTGTTGCATTTTAAATAATAATTTTTTTGGTGAAATTAAAATTTTTCTAATAAATTAAATCCAACGTAGCGGGTTGAAAATTTTGTTAAATAAATTAAATTAATATTTTTCAAGAAAAAAAAATTAAATGAGTATATTTATGCATAGCAGGCCGGGCCGTCCAGTTACTTTAGGATGAGAGGCAGCATATCCAAATTCCCGCCTGGGTTCGGGCCGGCCGAAAAGCGAGGGAGAGTTAGTGATGTTCGGCTGGTTCGTCCGATTCTCGGGTCTGTTTGAACCGGGAAGCCTTGCGTCTCTCTCTCTCTCTCTCTCTCTCTCTCCCTCGCGCGCCCGCTCTAAGATTCAACTATGAACGGCGTAATTCTTACCGAAAAGAAATCAATGGCGTCCATATTAGCAAAGCTTAACAAACACTCCACCAATACCTGTGGAAGCTAAAAATGAGTCAAGATCGTTGAAACCATGTCGCGTTGTATGCGCGTCTCTGTCTCTCCTCCGCCGATAACCAAGGAAGCCAAAAATGGAGAGAGTTTGTCGGTCTTTTATACCTTTTATGTCCATCTCTCCTCTCTCGGCTCTATTCGCAGAGGTAGTTCCTTCTCTCTCTGTCTCTCTCTCTTTCTCTCTGTGTGGATATTCTCTGAGCAACTTTGTTTGTTTTCTTTTTATTCATTTCAGTGTTCATGGTTATTTGAGCTTGATTCTTCTATTTTTTGTTTGTTATCGAGTTGAAAAGATGTTTTCGAAATGCTATGTGCAGGCATTTGGCAAGGACTTTGGTGTCGGCTGGTTGTATATGAGGGCTCAGGTCCTTCTGGCCTTTACTGCCTAATCCACCAGTAATACCCCCAAGATGTCTGGGTCTCTCGCTCTTAGGCCAGGTAAAATTCACTCTTCATGTTTTTCTCCTTTTTTGTCTGTTTTATTGTATAGTTTTTCATACAAATTGGTCCATTGTTTGTTGCAATTCTATGCTGTTTCTCTATAATGGAGAAGTTGGGGCAAGTTTGGAACAAATGAAATATTTTGCGGCATTCATTTGAAATCTTACTTCCATTTCCATTTACCATTCACTAACCAAACGAATGAGTCAGCTTCTCTTTTAAACTATAGTACTTCATCTACAAATTCCATGGTTTCAGATAGAATTTGAAATGTTTGATGTAAGTAGACATGTTCAAATGAATTCCAAGAATAGTTCATTTTTTCCAAACATGATCATAAAAATTCATATACTATGTAATTTAGGTATTTAATAAATCAAGTTAACTATCTGATATCAATTGATGTACGAGTTATGATTGTCCTGCTGTGAATATGCCTGAATCTTGTTTTGTATATGGAAAGTTTGAAGGGGGCTTGGTCGTAAAGCAAGTCACAGTGGCTTCTTACTTGTATTTTTTCTGTTTGTGTTAGTATATTCATCCTGATTTGGAATACAGCACATGATCCTGTACCGTGTATGTTCTGTATATCTTGTTCTGTTTAATAGCAGTTGTATCAACCTTTTTGATGTATTTGATAGTTTCTGTTTGATGGTTAATCCACTGATGTTCATCTGATGCATCAGAAGTTGAATTCTCAGAGGATGAGAAGAAGACTAGGGTCGGATCTTTCAAGAAAGCCGCCATGAATGCTTCCCACAAGTTCAGGAACTCTTTGTCAAAAAGGAGAAGAAGTAGCAAAGTCATGTCTGTCGACATTGAGGATGTGCATGATGCTGAGGAGTTGCAGGCTGTTGATGCCTTCCGCCAAGCACTTATCCTGGAAGAGCTACTTCCGGCAAAGCATGATGATTATCATATGATGCTCAGGTTTCAAGATGAATACTTTTTTCAATTCGCTAATTGTATTTAAGATATGCCTTAGTTGTCTTCTTGGCCTCTGAATTTGTAGATGACAGAATGGATTTTGAAAAAGATGATAGCATAAGCATATTTGTGTCTAAATGTAATGTTTCATAACACAGATTTTTGAGGGCTAGGAAATTTGACATCGACAAAACAAAACAAATGTGGTCAGACATGCTCCAGTGGAGGAAGGAATTTGGTTGTGACACAATAATGGAGGTATATATTCTCCACAGAATCTGGCTTTAGAGGCTTTAAGAATTCTCTTATTTTACTTCTTTCTCCTACTATAATATATGGTCAGGGCTGGAAGCCTGGCAGTTTTTTCTGTGTTTCTCTGGCTGAATCTTGGTCCTTCTTCCTTCTTCTTCTTCTTTATTCTCTGTTCAAGGATTTCGAATTCAAGGAACTTAATGAAGTCCTGGAATACTATCCCCAAGGACACCATGGAGTTGACAAGGAAGGCCGACCCGTTTACATTGAGAGACTAGGCAAAGTGGACCCTAACAAACTGATGCAGGTCACAACCATGGACCGCTATGTGAAATACCATGTGATGGAATTCGAGAGGACCTTTGCTGCTAAATTCCCAGCTTGTTCAATTGCAGCAAAGAAGCACATTGACCAAAGTACTACCATCCTGGATGTGCAAGGAGTGGTAAGTCAACCTGAACAAATGGAATAAAAATTGTCAAAATGCACAACTTCAGAAAAAACTTATGCTGTCGATTTGTCATATTAGGGCCTTAAAAATTTCAACAAAGCTGCAAGGGATCTAATTACTCGCCTACAAAAGATTGATGGTGACAACTATCCAGAGGTATTATCAGGCCCCTGGCCGCCACCCCCTCCCCACCCCCCGCCCCGCCCCAACTCAAAGAAAGGTGTTCTGCATCTGCAATCTATTGTTAATGCAGATTTATGGTGTTGTTCGGGTTGTTCTTTTCTTTGCAGACCTTGAATCGCATGTTTATCATCAATGCTGGCTCTGGATTTAGAATGTTGTGGAACACTGTTAAGTCTTTCCTTGATCCTAAGACCACAGCAAAGATCCATGTAAGTGCGCACTTCCATATGCTGAGTCTACCAAGTTTTGAGTCGTTTGACCAAAAATATAATTAATCAATAAAACTAATTATCTACCAGGTTCTTGGCAATAAGTACCAGAGCAAATTGCTTGAGATAATTGATGCTAGGTAAGTTTCCGATGCATGTTCTTAATTTCAGATATTTCTTATCTCAGTTCTTTATCTGATTCTTTATCTTTCCCTGGTACGATGTCTGTTTCCTGAAAACATAAATTGAGTAATAATCTTCTTTTCAATTTTGGTCTTCTTTAGTGAGTTGCCCGACTTTCTAGGAGGTACTTGTACCTGTGCTGATCAGGGAGGCTGTATGCGGTCTGATAAGGGCCCATGGAAGGACCCAGAGATCATGAAGGTGTCTAGCACTATGTTCCTTTCTATTCAGTTATTCCCTTCATTTCACATGAAAGCTTGATCATATTTATTTTTCCTTAATTAGCCACTTTAATTAATCATTGCACTTGCAGAGGGTTCAAAACGGTGATCATAAATGTACAAGGAAATCTGAGGCTCGGAACACTGAGGAGAAGACAATTTCTGAGGATGAGATAGTGTACTCGAAGGTTTTGCTTTCTTATATATATATATATATATATAAATTTGAAATATGCCAATTTGAAACAAATCAATCATATTTATGAGGTCTTTCGATTCATCTGTGCTCCTGGAGCACCTTATAAATATTACTCGCTGATTTACCTCTTGAAAAGGGCCTCATTTTTTACCTTTTGACAACCTCTGCAGGGATGTGACTCTTCACATGAGGCAGGGTCTGACATAGAAAAACTTCGAAGGGACCAAATAGAGCATCCGCCAATTCATGAAGAAGTGAGTATTATGTACTTCCCCTAAAATATATTCAGTAATTTGAAGGTTCCTATGTTTCAGTCGGCAGTAAGATAAAGCATTACGCTAACATATGCTGCAGTAGCATTTGATATCAACAAAATCATAGGGTTAGACATCAAAGAAAATATCAGATCTATGATTTGTGGCATAAGAAGATGGTTAGAACAGAACAAACAAAAATCCAACATGTAGCCACCAATTAGTTTCTTCATTTTGGTCAAAACAATTTTTTTTTTTCTTTTTAAACTTATCCTCACATATTTATCTTAATTTTTAACGTAAACTTCTCTTTTATAAACTAATTTTTTAATTTCATTTTACTTGTGATCTTCACATTTTGTTATAAGTCTTAGGGTTAATTATATGATATTTAGATTTGAAAGATAAATTCTTGTAGCTGCTTTATTTGTTTATATGAATAGTTTGATATTCTTTCGAAAAAGTTAATTTATTAAATTAAAAATTAATTACAAGTAAAATAACACTAATATAATATATCTATATAATTTTGTTTCATAGGGAAAAGTTAAGACTAAAAATGAGGATGGTACAAATGACACTTTACTCATTGTACTTTGTGTTTTGGACTGTTCATTAGCTACCAAACATACAGAGGAAAAATTTATTCAGGCTAGTCCATACATATTAAACACATCATTTTACTTTGCCTTGCATTGCATTATCCTATTTAATTCCTCTTTGCAAAACCTTCTTCTTTTCCCTTTCCATCTTTTTGAACTACAGGTCCACATCAGCAAAAAGAGTAGTCATAATCACTACAATTTTGATAGCTTTCCAGTGGCTGAGAAGATGATGGACTCAAATTGGCAAAAGTTGGTCGATGCTGACAAGTTTGCCCTCGCCGAAGGTACATTTTCCTGTTAGCTTGTTTCTACTTCGTTTCAGCAAAGTCCCAATAAGCTTGTCCATGTTCTGATAGAGCAGAATAAAACTATGCTATTGAGATGGCTACTTTCACCTAAAACATATTCTTTTACAATAACTTTTTGAGCTCGTATAATCTATTTACAGGTCTTTTTTTTTTTTGAGAGAAAGGAAGACCTATTCAAAATCATTTTTGGGCAATCCTACATGTATTGTTCTTGACTTAGTTAAGGCCAACTAACTTTTGTATGGCTGTGACTTAGTTTTCCCCTCTTGATAATGCAGATTGTTATGCCATGCAAGATCAACGCAAAGTTGCCGAAGGGGGTAATTCTCAGATTTTCACTGGTGTCATGGCCTTTGTTATGGGCATTGTCACTATGATCAGGGTGACCCGCAATATGCCCAAAAGGCTCACTGATGCCACTATCTACTCCAATTCTATTGGTTGTGATGATGACGTAGTAGTGAAAAGCCAGCCGGCTCCACAGAAACTACCTATCCCTGCCATATCTGGCGAAGAGTTCATGGTTGTGATGAAACGCATGGCTGAATTGGAAGAGAGAGTGCGTATCTTGAGCCTGCAACCTATGACCATGCCACCTGAGAAGGAAGAAATGTTGAATGTGGCCATCAACCGAGCCAATGTCTTGGAGCAAGAGCTTAACATGACCAAGAAGGTAATGGATTTTGCCTTTGCAAACTTCTTAGCTACCTAGATGAATAGCCTGCGAAATTAAAATTGGCACCCAAATATTCAATTGTCTGTGCTTTTAATCTAAAGATCTTTTCAGCATATATATTTTGTTATCTCAAGGTTTGCAGAACATTACTATGTTTTCTTCATGTCTATTGCTATTTAGACAACTTTTTTTTTTTTCTTTTCTTTGGGTGGGAGGGGGGGGGGATTAAAAATTTATGATTTCAGTCCTCAATCATTATTTTTTTGGGTGGAGAATAT